AAAAATATGATTGCAAACTCAATATTTGGCAAACTAACCACTAGTTGGGGTGGTTCCTCGAACGGAGCTCGGAAAACTAATACATTGTAGCGCTCACGCACTACAACAGGGGGCTGACCCATCAATCGCCGGGCGTGTCTAGCGGTTATGAGCGTAACCCGCGAACCAAAATTGGGTTTCTCATTTTCACGAGTCGTAAACCCGGATTTACCTTCTCCCCAAAACAATATTTTGAGGTTTGATGTTACGTATGGGTGTTTTTCCTCTAGCGTGTTATCGCCTCCCCTTCCTGATCATAGCAAGGCGTGGGGCGGAATTATCTTGCCTCACGAGTCTCACGAGTCCCTGTTTCTAAATGAAATGAAATAGTCCCATGTAGTGTATATAGTTATTATGTCCAAAGACAGGAGATTCTTTTATAACTATTCCAGTAAAAGTGGAACTACCCTGCCGATACCCAGGGTATTACAGCTGCGATGCAGTGCATTACAATGTGGTGCACATATGTATCAGCTTCGAGGAGCTCTAGTCCGTGGGGTCTAGCAGGGCAGGTCCAGAACAGTCTGCAAGGCGTATACACAAATAAATAACGACGAACNGTCCGTGGGGTCTAGCAGGGCAGGTCCAGAACAGTCTGCAAGGCGTATACACAAATAAATAACGACGAACGGAACAACATATATCTCCGCCATATATTATTTATGTAAGTGTCTCCCCATGAGCTTGCAGGAAGGTACCAGTAGTCTCAAATAGGTACTGAGGCGCCCATGTTGGGCTCATAGGCAAAAGAGAACACTTGGAACGAGAACAGAGTACGCTAGATGAAGATGTATATTCCGTGTCTAGCTGAGATTGACAGAGAAAACCCCAACTTAGGAGAAAGTACGCCCTGTTGGACCACCAGGGGTGCTCCCGGGGGTAGTCCCCGGTCCTGGCATGCTGATGTGGCTGGTAATAGTCTGCACCCTCCTCGCGTGCTGTTCCAGCTGATGGTTGCAGCGCGGGAATCCGCTCTCCAGCCACAGTAGCATACTGGGACGGAACGATGGCTACCCCGAAAGTAATCTTGGTGATCTAATGGTCGACCAACCCAATACTCTCCCCAGAACCATGTTCCTCATTATTTCGTTCATTCCTTGCCAGCCCTTTCTAATCACCGAATTTCTGTGTACGACTTGCCCGTTACGCTCTTGTCCCGCTTGTCACTTAGGTCTGGGAGCCCAATCTAAACTGGTGTGTGTCTACGGCTGGATGCTAGCCTTTTCCTATCTCGCCTCTACGTTGACAATGTTATAATATATATAACTTGAGAAATTACGAACTAAGTCTTCCATAAATATCCATTGAGGTGTTGTTGGTTTCCAGAGTCTCCTGGATGTTCTGCGACAGCCCTGCTGAACCCCATCTCATTAAACATACGATACTAGTGACCGTGGGGCCTATTTCGTTGATCCCGTCTTCAGCTTACGGTCCTGCTTAGTATGTTCTCGGGCGTACAATCGTTGACAGGTATTTCAGTCGTTTATTATATAGACAACTCGCAAAAATTCCTCTGCGACCGCATGGCCAGACGTGCCCTCTAGAACCCCAGGGCATTACGCCGCCGCTCCGGGGTCTCCTCTTCTTTTATCTCCTTTTCTTTCGCTCGTTATATTCGCAGTGCACATTTATTTTCGTTTTTTTTGTCTGTTAAATTTGCTTTATGCCGCCTTTGCAAATTTTCTCTGTCGCTTGCNATTTATTTTCGTTTTTTTTGTCTGTTAAATTTGCTTTATGCCGCCTTTGCAAATTTTCTCTGTCGCTTGCGCCCCCCTTGAGCCGATGAGGGCTCCTGGCTTTGCTTATACGCACGTAACACAAAAGACAAATGCAATGATACAGACAAAGAAGTAAACAAATAAACATAGAAAACAAATCAATCAGAACAAAAAGCAAAAGAGACAAAGAAGACAAACGGGGCTAGCAACCAGATGCAACATCGATGTCTGTCCCCGCTGTATCTCTCGAGCGGTATGGTGAACCTGCTGCAACCCATTTGTTTAGTGCGTCTTTTTTGTATCCTCCTTCATCAGCAGATGGACACAAAAGACAAGAAGCCAGATACGGGGGCCTGGAGAGGAGGAGGCGGCGCAGTGGGCGTTTAGCCGTCACCTTTGTTTTATTGGTCTCTGTCTTTGGTGTCATTTATCTTCTCTCTCGCTGTATTGCATTAAACAAAGAGCAGCAGCTACATGCAGCAGCAGGAAGAAGACTGGCAGGGCAGAAGGGGG